TCAAATGTTTAGACAAAGGATTAGAAACATTGAATAGGGATCGTTATCAATTTTTATGGATTAGTTTCTCGACTTGTGTATAGGCTAGTCTAATCATTATTTTAATGACCGGTTTATAGACTAGTCCATGGACTGGTATATTGACTGCTCTACTTGCAAGTCTGTGGACTAATCTATTATCTGTCATCTACTATATATATTAGTCTATTGACTAGAGTTGGAACTAGTGTATTTAGTAGTCTATTGAATAGTCCTTGAACTGATCTATTGGTAAGTCTATTAGTCTGTATATAGTCAAATCAATTGTTTAGACAAAGTATTAGATATGGACTCGATACTTGACATGTGTATGGACTAGTCTAATCTTTAGTTTATTGACTGGTTTATAGACTGGTCCATATACTGATATAAATAAGTATTGGCTGGTCAATTGCCTAGTCAGTGGACTTATCTATGGACCAGTCTATTAATTAGCGCATTATCTAGTCTAAAGATTAATCTATTGACTAACTAGAGTAGGAACCATCATATATACTAATCTTTCGATTATTATATTCATTAGTCTATTGACTAGACAATAGACTAAGTAGTATATGGCATAGTCTACTGAATAGTCTTTAAACTGGTCTGTTAAGCAATATATAGTCAAAACAAAGGGATCTCAAACAGGTTAAGAAGGGATCTCAAACAGGTTAAGAACTAAATGTAAAACTTGTTAACTTCTAACTTTCTGTATAGTATTAGATACGACTACGTATAAATATAATGCTGCTATTACATTATGTATTTGGAAATGGAATAAAAAGTAAATAAATAACATAACAATTTCTTTACACTTGATAATAGTTTATAAACATTTCTATAGCCTTTAGAGACATTAAAAAAAAACATTACTTTCCAGCTGGTTTAAGTTAATTGTCCCATCAGCATATCCAATGTCACTAGAAATTGTTAACCCAAACAATAGAGTCAAAAACATACATATAACGCCACCTTAGTGAAGTTTAGATTTTAATGATAAACTTAAAACTTAATTGTGTCTTCTTTTTTTCACTCCACATTTTGTCTCATTACAGGCAGAGTGATTTTTTTCAAATGCAAACCATAAAACGCACTATACAAGACCATTGACCGTACCGGACTACAACTAGCAGCCATTGTTTAAGGAAACAAAAACAAGAACAACAACTACATGTACAATATACATGCAGTAGAAACAATTAACCAAAGATTTGTCCAACCAAAGGTATGAAGATAATTTGCTGCAAGGCTTAAATGTAAAAGTGACACCAAAGTGCCAACAACGTTTATTCTACACCAGACAAATAGTGTGTGTCTATGTGTGACAATAGTTGCTGTGAAATAAGGAAACACTTTATTATTAACTCTAGTGCTGTAGAGCAACAGGATAACAGCGGCCATAACAAGAATGCTGCAAAAATATCATCCAAATCCATTGTCACATTTTCTGGCGCTACACAATTCGCAAGCAACACACCATAATGTTGTCGATGCTCACACCTTGGCCTCAACCATTGCCAATGGTCATGTACAATTTCAACAACATCATCATCATCAACAGCAGCAGCAACATTCCAATCCCGTCTTGTTAGCGAATCATCACGCACAGAATACAACACATAATCATACTGCCATAGAATTGGCAGCTCAACATTTGAACTCTCATAATTCACCAGCTCATATACAAAGAGACAACCAACACCCCCACCACCAACATCAACCTCATCTTAATAATCAGCTACTTCATCATCAAAACCAACGTAATTCACAAAACCACCAGCATCAACATCATCACCATCATGCACAGCAATTAATTGAAGCAGCAGCGGCCGCATCAGCAAATACAACCCTTGATGCTGGCAAATCTTTTACAATAGCCGCCATTTTAGGTTTACAAAAGAGTGCCATGGAGAATACGAGAAAGGAATACACCAACAATGTTATAAACCTATCATTAAATTGTGCCAGCAACCACCCCGACAACAACAGCAGTTCACAACCACCCACCAACAGCACACCACTATCCGATATTGAGGATGAGCATGAACCTCATGAACAACCACATCAGGCACAGCGCGATTCTCTTAACACTAATAACAATAACAACAACAATAACAATAGAGATGTTAGTAACTTAAATGTGAACAAGTCGAATATTTGCAATAGTTTCAATACAACCACCAGCAATAACATCAACAACAACAACACCATTACCACCGTCAACAATTCTGTAAATAGTTTCAATTGTGATAATACAAATGCAACAACAGCAGCAACTGCTGCTAGCGTTTTAATGAATCGTTATTTACCGTCGGCCATGGTAAATGTTTCTAACGGCTCAAATGTGGTGGCCTCCGCTCCCTCATTAGTTTCTTTTGCCTCTAGTCCTGTTATGACCCATCAACAACATGCTCGTGCAAATAGTTTTGTTGCTGCGGCAGCTGCTGCAGCCGCCGCCGCTGCTGCTGCTAATGGTGCTCCTTCAGCTTTGCAAAGTCTGCAACAGTTGCATCAGCAACATGCCCATCAGACGAGTTTGAGTTTTCAGAGGGATAAACTAAAAGGTGAGTTATTGGAGGAATTTTCTATAGAAATATTTCGAGAAAATTGTTTTTTCTATAGAAAATTTTCGAGAAAATAGTTTTTTCTATAGAAAATTTTCGAGAAAATTGTCTTTTCTATAGAATATTTTTGAGAACATTGTTTTTTCTATAGAAAATTTTCGAGAAAATTGTCTTTTCTATAGAAAATTTTCGAGAAAATTGTCTTTTCTATAGAAAATTTTGTTTTCTATAGAAAATTTTCGAGAAAATTGTTTTTTCTATAGAAAATTTTCGAGAAAATTGTTTTTTCTATAGAAAATTTTCGAGAAAATGGTCTTTTCTATAGAAAATTTTCGAGAAAATAGTTTTTTCTATAAAAAAAATTTTGAGAAAATAGTTTTTTCTATTGAAGATTTTCGAGAAAATTGTTTTTTCTATAGAAGATTTTTGAGAAAATTGTTTTTTCTATAGAAGATTTTCGAGAAAATTGTTTTTTCTATAGAAGATTTTCGAGAAAATTGTCTTTTCTATAGAAAATTTTCGAGAAAATTGTCTTTTCTATAGAAAATTTTCAAGAAAATTGTCTTTTCTATAGAAAATTGTCTTTTCTATAGAAAATTTTCGAGAAAATGGTCTTTTCTATAGAAAATTTTCGAGAAAATTGTTTTTTCTATAGAAAATTTTCGAGAAAATTGTTTTTTCTATAGAAGATTTTCGAGAATATTGTTTCTATAGAAAATTTTCGAGAAAATTGTTTTTTCTATAGAAAATTTTCGAGAAAATTGTCTTTTCTATAGAAAATTTTCGAGAAAATGGTCTTTTCTATAGAAAATTTTCGAGAAAATAGTTTTTTCTATAGAAGATTTTCGAGAATATTGTTTTTTCTATAGAAAATTTTCGAGAAAATTGTTTTTTCTATAGAAAATTTTTGAGAAAATTGTTTTTTCTATAGAAGATTTTCGAGAAAATTGTTTTTTCTATAGAAAATTTTCGAGAAAATTGTCTTTTCTATAGAAAATTTTCGAGAAAATGGTCTTTTCTATAGAAATTTTTTTCAAAAAATTGCCTTTTCTATAGAAAATTTTCTAGAATATTGTATTTTCTATAGAAAATTTTGGAAAAAATTGTCTTTTCTATAGAACATTTTCGAGAAAAAAGTTTTCGAGATTTTCGAGAAAATTGTTTTTTTTTTTTTTATAGAAAATTTTCGAGAAAATAGTTTTTTCTATAGAAAATTTTTGAGAAAATAGTTTTTTTCTATAGAAAATTTTTGAGAAAATAGTTTTTTTTATAGAAATTTTTCGAGAAAATTGTGTTTTCTATAGAAGATTTTCGAGAAAATTGTTTTTTCTATAGAAAATTTTCGAGAAATTTGTCTTTTCTATAGAAAATTTTCGAGAAAATTGTTTGTTCTATAGAAAATTTTCGAGAAAATAGTTTTTTCTATAGAAAATTTTTGAAAACATTTTTTTTTTTATAGAAAATTTTCGAGAAAATAGTTTTTTCTATAGAAAATTTTTGAGAAAAAATTTTTTTTCTATAGAAAATTTTAAAGAAAATTCTCTTTTAAAAAAAAAAAAATACTTTTCTACAGAAAATTCACTTTTTTATAGAAAACATTCGAGAAAATTCTCTTTTTTATAGAAAATTTTCGAGAAAATTCTAATTTTTATAGAAATTTCTCCTTTTTATAGAAATTCTTAAGAATTCTGTTATAGAAATTATTAAAAAAAAAATTGTTCTACATCTACTTTTAGATCACAATGGTAAAAAATCTTCTCTAAAAAATAAACGTGTACGTACCATTTTCACACCCGAACAACTGGAAAGACTTGAAGCTGAATTTGAACGTCAACAGTATATGGTGGGACCAGAACGTCTCTATCTGGCACACACTCTCCAGCTAACAGAGGCTCAAGTTAAAGTCTGGTTTCAAAATCGACGAATTAAATGGCGAAAACATCATTTGGAAATAACACAACAGCGTTTGGCCCTGCTAAGGCAAACACAAATTACTACCAATCCTAATGGTAATACCGAAACAGATACTATTAATATTGATACCAATGATGATGATGAATGTGATGATATAAAGCGAGAGGAATTACGGGAACTAAACGAAAGTCGACAAGATACAGAATCAGAATTATCCATTTGTAATGATTCAATGGATGCTGAAAGTATTGTAGAAGGTGACGATGAAACATAAGAATAAGTTTTTTATTTTCGTGCTCTTCTAGTAGTTTACTAAAAGTTGTAAATATATATTTAGTATTGTTTAAATTATGAGATATTAAAATAATGAATGTAAATACATATAAAAGTGAGAAAAAATCTGAAATAAAATTAAAAAATAACGTTGAAATGTTTAGACTTATGATTTGTTTTAGGAAAATCTCTAACAACAAATTGTGTTATTTGTATAAAATTGTATATTTATTTTTATAATAATAACATATTACTTTATCTATGAGAAACTGAAAGAATACATAAGTAAAACAATTATAAATTATAAATACGATTAACGAAAAATCAATTGATAACAACAATCAATTGCCATATTGTCCCTTAGCACAAGTGAACGTTTTCGATCAATTTGTCTGAGTTGTACCGGACATACTCATTTGTAATTTCTTTTCACATAATTTCTTAATGTGTATTTGATTCGTTGCTTCCGCTTGTCGCAATATCTTACGTATATCCGAGTCACGTTTATATTTATTTGCCAGCAAATAGGCCGATTTTAATTGTCCAATAAATATATGTGAAGATATTCTCAATTCGACACTGTTTATCTTTTTGGCTAAATTATCGAGTGCTGTTTTTACTTCGGGTTCATGATTATTAGTGGCCGAATTTATAGCAACACTAAGAATTTCATCAATATCGCGTGTACTAACACCATTATTGGTCGTAATACAATTCAACAGTTTATCAACATCTTGTAAACGTTGATTGCGAGCTAAAACCTTAGCAGTGGCAGCAAATATTTTAATCGGTGGTAATTTATAATCTTGTATAATTCTGTAAATAGTTTTGAAATAAAAAATTTTAAATTAGCGACAAATTAGTTGAGAATAATTTACCTGTAGGCTAAACCGAAACCTTCATCTATGTTTTTGCCACATAAAAGTATTAAAATGCAAATCTGTATTTTCTCTTGGACTTTATCGAAGAGCGTGGGTAATGTTTTGTTTGAATCTAAGCGTATCTAAAAAATATAATAGAACAATCAATTTTTAATTGAAGAAAATTTTCGGATTTTTTATAGAAAATTTTTTTTTGGAAAAATCTCTTTTTTGTTATAGAAAATTTTCGGAAAATTTCTCTCATTTTTATAGAAAATTTTCGGAAAATTTCTCTCATTTTTATAGAAAATGTTCGGAAATTTTCTCTTTTTTATAGAATTTTTTTTAAAATTTCCATCTTTTTTATAGAAAATTTTTTGAAAATTTCCATCTTTTTTATAGAAAATTTTCAGAGAATTTCTCTTATAGAAAATTTTGGGAAAATTTCCCTCTCTTTAATAGAAAATTTTGGGAAAATTTCCCTCTTTTTAATAGAAAATTTTGGGAAAATTTCCCTCTTTTTAATAGAAAATTTTGGGAAAATTTCCCTCTTTTTAATAGAAAATTTTCGGAAAATTTCCCTTTTTTTAATAGAAAATTTTCGGAAAATTTCCCTTTTTTTAATAGAAAATTTTCGGAAAATTTCCCTTTTTTTAATAGAAAATTTTCGGAAAATTTCCCTTTTTAATAGAAAATTTTCGGAAAATTTTCCTCTTTTCAATAGAAAATTTCCCTCGTTTTTGTAGAAATTTTTCGGAAAATTTCCCTCTTTTTTATAGAAAATTTTCGAAAAATTTGCCTCTTTTTGTTATAGAAAATTTTCGGAAAATTTACCTCTTCTTAATAGAACATTTTCGGAAAATTTCCCTTTTTTTAATAGAAAATTTTCGGAAAATTTCCCTTTTTAATAGAAAATTTTCGGAAAATTTCCCTCTTTTTAATAGAAAATTTTCGGAAAATTTCCCTCTTTTTTATAGAAAATTTTCGGAAAATTTCCCTCTTTTTTATAGAAAATTTTCGGAAAATTTCCCTCTTTTTTATAGAAAATTTTCGGAAAATTTCCCTCTTTTTTATAGAAAATTTTCGGAAAATTTCCCTCTTTTTTATAGAAAATTTTCGAAAAATTTCCCTCTTTTTTTATAGAAAACTTTCGAAAAATTTTCCTCTTTTCAATAGAAAATTTTCGAAAAATTTTCCTCTTTTCAATAGAAAATTTTCGAAAAATTTTCCTCTTTTCAATAGAAAATTTCTCTCGGTTTTGTAGAAAATTTTCGAAAAATGTCCCTCTTTTTCTTATAGAAAATTTTCGAAAAATTTCCCTCGTTTTTGTAGAAAATTTTCGAAAAATTTCCCTCTTTTTCTTATAGAAAATTTTTGAAAAATTTCCCTTTTTCTTATAGAAAATTTTCGAAAAATTTCCCTCGAAAATTATCGGAAAATTTCTCTTTTTGTTATAGAAAATTTTATTTTCGGAAAATTACTCCCTTTCTTATAGAAAATTTTCTATTATTTTTGTATCACTCCTACCTGCTTTAGATATTTTTCCGTTATCAAACTATCATCACTACTATTTTCCACTTCACATTTCGCTAAAAATTTCGCTACATCCAATTGTTTTAGAATCGTATTTATATGGGCATTAAGCGAACGTGCATCCATTTGCATTTGCAAATTTCCACCACCCGTAGATGAGGTAATGCTGCCGGAACTTGATCTACGACTACTATTGCCGTTCTTTTGTGATGTTTTACTCGTGTTAAAGTTAATATTCTCCCATTTCGAAACCTCCAGTTCGGTTTGCAAATGTAAATGAGCATTATGCAAATGCTGGGAATTCGTATGTTGTTGTTGGAAATTTTCACAATTCATGGAGTAAAATTTAACGCATGTCATCGAAGCTCTAATGGGATCGTTTAAAAGTAATTGTAATTGATAGAGAGAATTGAGATGGTTATGGGTCTCCAAGTAACGACAAGCCTGTAGCAGTACCGTACGCCACATTAGCAGACGGCTGTCAAATTCTTGCAATTGGCTGATAAGTTGAGGCATTTGACCTCTTTTTAAGTGTTCTAATAAAATATGCTGTATAAAAAGTTCAGGCTCAAGTTTTTGTAAAATAAAATATTTTAAAGTGGCTATTAGGTCATTATGTTGCATAAGGAATTTTATAACATCAGCATGAGATCCATAGGTGAGAACATAATAGATGCATTCCTCAAAGCCACGAGTTTTACGGAATAATATTTTGCGTTTAACAGGTGTGTCACTGCTATTCGTACTAACGCGTTTTAAAGAAGCCAAAGTATTTAAGATATTTAAGGCAGGTTCATGCATGCGCTTTACATAGGTTTCCTTACGTCGGGAGAGTAATGAAACTAACGATGTATTTGAACTGCGTATAATGGAAGCACGTTGCAAGGTCTCCGGTTGTGTTTTATTTAATGGTGATGATTCGATTAATTTTAAAATTTCCTGTAGTAAAGGAGGACCATGTTGGGGACGACGTATCAAAGTGATGTCATGATCTTTTGTCAAACCCAAAATATTATCAAAATTGCCATTTGTTGATAGCTGAAGTTTGGTATTGAAAATTACTTTGCAAATTGCAGTGTTCGTGGTTTCAGTAGTTAACTTGGGCATACAGTGGGAGAAGTGGCACGGCGAGAAAGGGGGGCAAAAGGAAGGGAGGGGAGGAAGACGGACTAGGATCGGACGGACGGACGACGACGGGACGGACGGACGAGGACGGCGGACGGACGGACGGACGACGGACGGACGGACGGACGACGGGACGGACGGACGGACGGACGGACGACGGACGGACGGACGGACGGACGACGGACGGACGGACGGACGGGACGGACGGACGGACGGACGGACTGACGGACGGACGGACGGACGGACGGACGGACGGCGGACGAGGACGGACGGACGGACGGCTGACGGACGGACGGACGGACGGACGGACGGACGGACGAGGACGGACGGACGGACGGACGGACGGACGGCGGACGGACGGACGGACGGACGGACGACGGACGTACGGACGGACGGACGGACGGATCGGACGGACGACGACGACGGACGGACGGACGGACGGACGGACGGACGGACGGACGGACGGACGGACGGACGGACGGACGGACGGACGGACGACGGACGGACGGACGGACGGACGGACGGACGGACGGACGGACGGACGGACGGACGGACGGACGGACGGACGGACGGACGGACGGAGGACGGACGGACTGACGGACGGACGGACGGACGGACGGACGGACGGACGGACGGACGGACGGACGGACGGACGGACGGACGGACGGACGGACGGACGGACGGACGGACGGACGGACGGACGGACGGACGGACGGACGGACGGACGGACGGACGGACGGACGGACGGACGGACGGACGGACGGACGGACGGACGGACGGACGGACGGACGGACGGACGGACGGACGGACGGACGGACGGACGGACGGACGGACGGACGGACGGACGGACGGACGGACGGACGGACGACGGACGGACGGACGGACGGACGGACGGACGGACGGACGGACGGACGGACGGACGGACGGACGGACGGACGGACGGACGACGACGGACGGACGGACGGACGGACGGACGGACGGACGACGACGGACGGACGGACGGACGGACGGACGGACGGACGGACGGACGGACGGACGGACGGACGGACGGACGGACGGACGACGGACGGACGGACGGACGGACGGACGGACGGACGGACGGACGGACGGACGGACGACGGACGGACGGACGGACGGACGGACGGACGGACGGACGGACGGACGGACGGACGGACGGACGGACGGACGGACGGACGGACGGACGGACGGACGGACGGACGGACGGACGGACGGACGGACGGACGGACGGACGGACGGACGGACGGACGGACGGACGGACGGACGGACGGACGGACGGACGGACGGACGGACGACGGACGGACGACGGACGGACGGACGGACGGACGGACGGACGGACGGACGGACGGACGGACGGACGGACGGACGGACGGACGGACGGACGGACGGACGGACGGACGACGGACGGACGGACGGAGGACGACGGACGGACGACGGACGGACGGACGACGGACGGAAGACGGACGTTACTGGACTACGGACGGTGACTGACGGACGGACTGACGGACGGACGGATGACGGACGGACGGTGTACGGACGGACGGACGGAGGTACGGCGGACGGAGGACGGACGACGGACGACGACGGACTTCACTACTTACTCACTTATTACTACTTACTACTTACTTACAAGTAAACAACTCACCTACCCGGTCCCTAACCTTCGTATTTCTCCTCCCTTTACTTACAGTTAAGTACTCACCTTGTATCATAACATCCTACCCGCAGGCAAGACAACCATGAGCCGCATAACCCCAGCTGTTGGGACGCCACATTTAAGATGTACTTCTAACGCCAATTCCCAACGTTCGGCTTGCACCAGTGAATCGGCTAATTTACGCCAAACCATGATTATTTAAAGGATCTGGTGGTATATAAGAGATTCACAGCCATTTGTACCACTGATTATAATTTCGGAATGTTCTCTTATTGTTTCCACTTCGGCAGGAGCACCACGTACCTTTATGCAAAATGCATAATACAAATATTTAGAATTCATTCTTAAGTGCAAAATTAAGTTTAATTAAATTTTACACTTATTACCTTTGCCGCCAGTGCCAAACAGTTCATCATCTTAGCCACCAATTCATAGTCTACCTCCGGATTGGGGACAATCAATTTCTCCAATTTACGACAGTGAAACAGCAATAAGTCCACACACTTTTGCTTACCCAAATGATAGTCTAAAATCGATAGACAAAGCGCTACACTAGGAGCATGGTCATAACAAAATTCCTCTCGCAGAAGCTTATCATGTGTTATATTTCCACTCAATTTCCACTTGAAACGTTCACCTGGTTTGGTACGCGATTTCACAGGAATATTCTCAATATCTTCGGCTTGAGCAGTTAAAGAGTCACGATTTGATTTGCGCTGCATAAAATCCTCAGACAAACGATGACAATCATTACAAATGCGTACCTCAACATCTTCATAGAGTTCGGGTATACGCATACGATGGGTAGAGCAAGCAAAACAAACGACTCGACCACAACGACGACAATGATGGCGGCGCATGAGCATAGTGAAAGCAGCACGACGACAACACATGCAGTGTGAAGCCTCCTCATCTCTGGTCCATTCGGCTCGTGTGGGAGCCTGATGAGGCATTTGAAAAGCTCCACATAAAGAATCTAACGATTGTTGCATGTCACAAGTGCTTTGGGAACAGGGCTCCGAGGCTGAAGATGTATCAGATATCTGATAGTCCAAAGCTTTAGTAGCATAGATGCGCAAGTAACAGATCTATGCAATCGTTGGTAATGAAATGATCTTTTTGATAGAGATTAAAATTAAGCAATATAAAAGCAGAGGCATTTGTACTCTCCACTGAACCCAACTGGAAACGTGTCTTCAGGGGAGAATTGTTCTTGGCATGCAAATCATATATATTGCCATTTTTATCAAAACAAAAAGGGCACAATTGATGGGAGTCTGATGACTCACTACTCGTCTCTCTATCCAATTCTTGGCGCACTGCTTGCAATACTTTAGTTAATATTTCAAATTTAGCATTCATTATTAACTGCTCAATGATCAACAGAGGAAATTTTAATAAATTCCAAAATTGTTTACGTATACCGGGAGTTAATTGTTCAAAAATTATTATAGAAATTTTATAATTTTTATACATTTCCTTATCATTTGACTTGGCCAAGCGTTCCAAGAAATTTATAGAATATTTCAATAAAAACATTGAACGAAATTTATCTTTATTGTTGTCCAAGAAAGCAATACAATCAACTTCCGGAAATGTTTCCAAAATGTGCAGTAAGTATTCGTATGTGTTTAAATGCATCTCCTGTGACTGCTGCTCATCACTCATATCGGTCAAGGCGCTGAGAAGTATATTTAGTAGATTCTTACGTTGTGGCTTAAAATTATCCGCCAATTTGACAACATTACACCATTCGTAACATCGTTTATAGAGATGCAATTGCAGTAAACGTTCAAATATTGTACTGGGAGTTTTCAAACCAAAATCATATGCTTGAGGCCATGTCTCGAATTGCATTACTTCTGATACTTTGGCATATATGGTAATATCAATCAATGTTGCTTCCAATTGTTGTCTCAAACTTCTTGGTATTTTCTGTACCGCTTCTCGATGTTGTAATGTTGTTTCGATTAGTTCTTTAGCTAGACGCGTAGTGGCTATTTTAGTAAAATTTTTATGAATTAAATTCGCCCCGAACGCCAATGTCATGAATTTTGGGAGCTAAATTAATGTTTTTGGCATCTTCCTGTATTAGATCCATGATCAAGCAGTCTATACGTTTTGATTTAATAAGTTTGGGTTCTGCAAGAAGAATAAAAGGTGTTTTGTTTTCATAGAGACTAGACTATAGACTTGAATATGGACTAGATTACATACTAAAAAATAGACTAGACTATAAACTAAAATATAGATTAGACTAGACTATAAACTAGACTATGGACTAGACTGTAGCCTAGACTGAAGACTAGACTATAGAATAGACTGTAGAATAGACTGTAGACTAGATTATAAACTATACTATACTATAGACTAGACTATAGACTAGACTATAGACTAGACTATAGACGACTATAGACTAGAGATAGACTAGACTATAGACTAGACTATAGACTAGACTATAGACTAGACTATAGACTAGACTATAGACTAGACTATAGACTAGACTATAGACTAGACTATAGACTAGACTATAGACTAGACTATAGACTAGACTATAGACTAGATAGACTAGACTATAGACTAGACTATAGACTAGACTATAGACTAGACTATAGACTAGACTATAGACTAGACTATAGACTAGACTATAGACTAGACTATAAACTAGACTATAGACTAGATTATAAACTATACTATAGACTAGACTATAGACTAGACTAAAGACTAGACTATAGACTAGACTATAGACTAGACTATAGACTAGACTATAGACTAGACTATAGACTAGACTATAGACTAGACTATAGACTAGACTATAGACTAGACTATAGACTAGACTATAGACTAGACTATAGACTAGACTATAGACTAGACTATAGACTAGACTATAGACTAGACTATAGACTAGACTATAGACTAGACTATAGACTAGACTATAGACTAGACTATAGACTAGACTATAGACTAGACTATAGACTAGACTATAGACTAGACTATAGACTAGACTATAGACTAGACTATAGACTAGACTATAGACTAGACTATAGACTAGACTATAGACTAGACTATAGACTAGACTATAAACTAGACTATAGACTAGATTATAAACTATACTATAGACTAGACTATAGACTAGACTATAGACTAGACTATAGACTAGACTATAGACTAGACTATAGACTAGACTATAGACTAGACTATAGACTAGACTATAGACTAGACTATAGACTAGACTATAGACTAGACTATAGACTAGACTATAGACTAGACTATAGACTAGACTATAGACTAGACTATAGACTAGACTATAGACTAGACTATAGACTAGACTATAGACTAGACTATAGACTAGACTATAGACTAGACTATAGACTAGACTATAGACTAGACTATAGACTAGACTATAGACTAGACTATAGACTAGACTATAGACTAGACTATAGACTAGACTATAGACTAGACTATAGACTAGACTATAGACTAGACTATAGACTAGACTATAAACTAGACTATAGACTAGATTATAAACTATACTATAGACTAGACTATAGACTAGACTAAGACTAACTATAGACTAGACTATAGACTAGACTATAGACTAGACTATAGACTAGACTATAGACTAGACTATAGACTAGACTATAGACTAGACTATAGACTAGACTATAGACTAGACTATAGACTAGACTATAGACTAGACTATAGACTATAGACTAGACTATAGACTAGACTATAGACTAGACTATAGACTAGACTATAGACTAGACTATAGACTAGACTATAGACTAGACTATAGACTAGACTATAGACTAGACTATAGACTAGACTATAGATAGACTAGACTATAGACTAGACTATAGACTAGACTATAGACTAGACTATAGACTAGACTATAGACTAGACTATAGACTAGACTATAGACTAGACTATAGACTAGACTATAGACTAGACTATAGACTAGACTATAGACTAGACTATAGACTAGACTATAGACTAGACTATAGACTAGACTATAGACTAGACTATAGACTAGACTATAGACTAGACTATAGACTAGACTATAGACTAGACTATAGACTAGACTATAGACTAGACTATAGACTAGACTATAGACTAGACTATAGACTAGACTATAGACTAGACTATAGACTAGACTATAGACTAGACTATAAACTAGACTATAGACTAGAATATAGACTAGACTATAGACTAGGCTATAGACTAGACTATAGACTAGACTATAAACTAGACTATAGACTAGACTATAGACTGGACTATAGACTAGACTATAGACTAGACTATAGACTAGACTGTAGACTAGACTATAGACTAGAACAATAAACTAGACTATAGACTAGACTATAGACTAGACTATAGGACTAGACTATAGACTAGACTATAGACTAGACTATAGACTAGACTGTAGACTAGACTATAGACTAGACTATAGACTAGACTATAGACTAGACTATAGACTAGACTATAGACTAGACTATAGACTAGACTATAGACTAGACTATAGACTAGACTATAGACTAGACTATAGACTAGGACTATAGACTAGACTATAGACTAGACTATAGACTAGATTATAGACTAGACTATAGACTAGACTATAGACTAGACTATAGACTAGACTATAGACTAGACTATAGACTAGACTATAGACTAGACTATAGACTAGACTATAGACTAGACTATAGACTAGACTATAGACTTGACTATAGACTAGGACTATAGACTAGACATAGACTAGACTATAGACTAGACTATAGACTAGACTATAGACTAGACTAGACTATAAACAAGACTATAGACTATAGCCTAGATTATAGACTAGACTATTCGTACATCTTTCTAACTTAACTTAACCTAACCTACTTCTTTTTTGATTCTTTGGAAGTTCTAAAAAGCGACAAAGAATGTGTCCATTTCACTCACCTTGTATACCAATATCAAGTTGCAATAACTCCAATTGTTCCCTTTTCGATTCAATCTTTTCCAACAGTTTCATATTAACATTATCACATCTTAAAGTGGCAATTATCTTATTACCACCATACAGCGAAGATAATCTATCAATTTCACTCATACACAAAATACGTTCCAAATATATGGAGTCTATATTGTTGTCATCTTTTGTAAAGTAATCCTTATTGTTAATACCTTGCAGTAAATATACCAATAAACGATTGTAATTGGCGATATAATTAAATATAGTAGCTTGTTTTTGTGCAGTAAGTTGACGTTTTTTCAAGCCACATTTACCCACAATTTCCGGGCAGATATTTAATGCAATAACATGCACTAGATTTAAATTTAAAGCCGTAACAATGCCTTCGATTTCCAAGGGTGTCATATCGCAATTGAATATCAATTCACCCACCACATCACAAGGATCTATTTTCAATAGCTCCTCTACATGAAATTCACAATTGGGATCTCTAAGATGCACCAATTTAGTAAGATGATGTACATAATTGCAGAATCTTTGATAATAATTACATTTCGATTCTAAATTCTGAAATTGTGTTAGCAGAGACTTTAAATCATCACAACGACTCAACTCGCTGGGTTTTTTATAGAATATTTCTTCAAATATTTTTTCTCTGGCCAATTCTACTGATAATTTTTTGTGGCCTTAAAGAGTAGCTATTGTCAGCCAGTAAATCTCTAACAGATTTACCCTCCAATAAGCGCATACAATCATTTAGATTTTCCAGCAAATTTAGTGGTCCTATATTTTTAGGTAATTGAGATTTTTCCATGCTTTCGACTTCCTTGAATGAGGATTGTATCGATTGATGACGTTTTATAACCATTAAAATACTTGTGATTATGTCACGGTTTAACGGTAAATTCAATATTAAATCACAAATGATAACAGCATTTAAATTGCTTTCTTCGAATTGTGTTAGAAAGCGATATTGTGGATTTTGTTTGTGTTTTTGTATTAACTCCTTAACGGCCTCAGTTTGTTTGATGCGTTGCGACTGGGCGAAATTATCGATAACACTTATAATTTTCGAAACTTCAAATCCTTTAGCTGCTACATTACGTATCTGTTCAACTGTGGCTAACGGTTCCTTTGAATTGTGGGTTTGTTTTTCTTGTCGCTGATAGTTTTCATAAATTATGGATAATTTCTGTTTAATATTTTGTTGTTGTTCAACATATTGTAATTCGGTGTTTAGTTGGGAATTTTGTAAATTGAAATTCTGTAAGAGAATTTGAAGAATAATGTAATAGTGAGAGAATACAAATTTAAGAAAAAATGAATTCTTAGGTGGCCTAGTAGGCTAGTTGATAGTGTGCTAGTCTTTTAGTCTGGTAGTCATGGATCCAAACTTCATCGGAAATTGGTGGCTGTTTCATGTCGGTCTATTTTGTAAATCATGATTATTTGAAACAATGAATAAACGAATAATTAGTAAGTAAGTAGTAAGTAAGTAAGTAAGTAAGTAAGTAAGTAAGTAAGTAAGTAAGTAAGTAAGAAGTAAAGTAAGTAGTAAGTAAGTAAGTAAGTAAGTAAGTAAGTAAGTAAGTAAGTAAGTAAGTAAGTAAGTAAGTAAGTAAGTAAGTAAGTAAGTAAGTAAGTAAGTAAGTAAGTAAGTAAGTAAGTAAGTAAGTAAGTAAGTAAGTAAGTAAGTAAGTAAGTAAGTAAGTAAGTAAGTAGTAAAAGTAAGTAAGTAAGTAAGTAAGTAAGTAAGTAAGTAAGAAGTAAGTAAGTAAGTAAGTAAGTAAGTAAGTAAGTAAGTAAGTAAGTAAGTAAGTAAGTAAGTAAGTAAGTAAGTAAGTAAGTAAGTAAGTAAGTAAGTAAGTAAGTAAGTAAGTAAGTAAGTAAGTAAGTAAGAGTAAGTAAGTAAGTAAGTAAGTAAGTAAGTAAGTAAGTAAGTAAGTAAGTAAGTAAGTAAGTAAGTAAGTAAGTAAGTAAGTAAGTAAGTAAGTAAGTAAGTAAGTAGTAAGTAAGTAAGTAGTAAGTAAGTAAGTAAGTAAGTAAGTAAGTAAGTAAGTAAGTAAGTAAGTAAGTAAGTAAGTAAGTAAGTAAGTAAGTAAGTAGTAAGTAAGTAAGTAAGTAAGTAAGTAAGTAAGTAAGTAAGTAAGTAAGTAAGTAAGTAAGTAAGTAAGTAAGTAAGTAAGTAAGTAAGTAAGTAAGTAAGTAAGTAAAGTAAGTAAGTAAGTAAGTAAAAGTAAGTAAGTAAGTAAGTAAGTAAGTAAGTAAGTAAGTAAGTAAGTAAGTAAGTAAGTAAGTAAGTAAGTAAGTAAGTAAGTAAGTAAGAAGTAAGTAAGTAAGTAAGTAAGTAAGTAAGTAAGTAAGTAAGTAAGTAAGTAAGTAAGTAAGTAAGTAAGTAAGTAAGTAAGTAAGTAAGTAAGTAAGTAAGTAAGTAAGTAAGTAAGTAAGTAAGTAAGTAAGTAAGTAAGTAAGTAAGTAAAGTAAGTAAGTAAGTAAGTAAGTAAGTAAGTAAGTAAGTAAGTAAGTAAGTAAGTAAGTAAGTAAGTAAGTAAAGTAAGTAAGTAAGTAAGTAAGTAAGTAAGTAAGTAAGTAAGTAAGTAAGTAAGTAAGTAAGTAAGTAAGTAAGTAAGTAAGTAAGTAAGTAAGTAAGTAAGTAAGTAAGTAAGTAAGTAAGTAAGTAAGTAAGTAAGTAAGTAAGTAAGTAAGTAAGTAAGTAAGTAAGTAAGTAAGTAAGTAAGTAAGTAAGTAAGTAAGTAAGTAAGTAAGTAAGTAAGTAAGTAAGTAAGTAAGTAAGTAAGTAAGTAAGTAAGTAAGTAAGTAAGTAAGTAAGTAAGTAAGTAAGTAAGTAAGTAAGTAAGTAAGTAAGTAAGTAAGTAAGTAAGTAAGTAAAGTAAGTAAGTAAGTAAGTAAGTAAGTAAGTAAGTAAGTAAGTAAGTAAGTAAGTAAGTAAGTAAGTAAGTAAGTAAGTAAGTAAGTAAGTAAGTAAGTAAGTAAGTAAGTAAGTAAGTAAGTAAGTAAGTAAGTAAGTAAGTAAGTAAGTAAGTAAGTAAGTAAGTAAGTAAGTAAGTAAGTAAGTAAGTAAGTAAGTAAGTAAGTAAGTAAGTAAGTAAGTAAGTAGTAAGTAAGTAAGTAAGTAAGTAAGTAAGTAAGTAAGTAAGTAAGTAAGTAAGTAAGTAAGTAAGTAAGTAAGTAAGTAAGTAAGTAAGTAAGTAAGTAAGTAAGTAAGTAAGTAAGTAAGTAAGTAAGTAAGTAAGTAAGTAAGTAAGTAAGTAAGTAAGTAAGTAAGTAAGTAAGTAAGTAAGTAAGTAAGTAAGTAAGTAAGTAAGAAGTAAGTAAGTAAGTAAGTAAGTAAGTAAGTAAGTAAGTAAGTAAGTAGTAAGTAAGTAAGTAAGTAAGTAAGTAAGTAAGTAAGTAAGTAAGTAAGTAAGTAAGTAATAAGTAAGTAAGTAAGTAAGTAAGTAAGTAAGTAAGTAAGTAAGTAAGTAAGTAAGTAAGTAAGTAGTAAGTAAGTAAGTAAGTAAGTAAGTAAGTAAGTAAGTAAGTAGTAAGTAAGTAAGTAAGTAAGTAAGTAAGTAAGTAAGTAAGTAAGTAGTAAGTAAGTAAGTAAGTAAGTAAGTAAGTAAGTAAGTAAGGTAAGTAAGTAAGTAAGTAAGTAAGTAAGTAAGTAAGTAAGTAAGTAAGTAAGTAAGTAAGTAAGTAAGTAAGTAAGTAAGTAAGTAAGTAAGTAAGTAAGTAAGTAAGTAAGTAAGTAAGTAAGTAAGTAAGTAGTAAGTAAGTAAGTAAGTAAGTAAGTAAGTAAGTAAGTAAGTAAGTAAGTAAGTAAGTAAGTAAGTAAGTAAGTAAGTAAGTAAGTAAGTAAGTAAGTAAGTAAGTAAGTAAGTAAGTAAGTAAGTAAGTAAGTAAGTAGTAAGTAAGAAGTAAGTAAGTAAGTAAGTAAGTAAGTAGTAGTAAAGTAAAAGTAAGTATTTTTTCAATTTTTCTGAATTCTGAAACAGGAAGTGTGTATCATAGAATTATTCTAATTTGGATCCCGAAGATATCTGGTTAGTTCCGACAATTGATTTCAACTGGCATACAGACAGATGGAATCGATTTTTCTATAAACTTTCTGAATATTACAACAAAATAAATACTAAATAAATTCTACAACATTTGTTTGCATCATATCTTGAACATCTGTTTTATTATAAATTAAACAACTGTTTTGTTATTAATAATTACAAATCGTTTTTATTATAGTTATTTCTACATCAACTACTCTGGTTGGCCACGTTACTGCTATTTGCTTTTGCTAAAAAGTTATGGGATGAACCTAAAACTGTGCACTACCATTACTATGAAAACTTTCCGTTATTGGAAAATAATATGAAAATAAAAGCTGAGTCATAAATATTTACGCTATATGGAGTTAATTTATTCTTTGTTAAATTTTATTTTTATGAGTTATTTCAATAAATGCCTATTCTTTTAATAATTCTACTACTTACCTCAATAATTTGTTTGGCGTCATTAAAACGTTTCAACGATAAAGCCAAAACTGCTAAACTTTGGGGAGATTCCAGTAACTTTAGTACAATGCTACGTTCCTCATTGATATCTCTTCTACTTTTACAGTTATCCAAATGTTTTAAAGGATCAATATTTGCCACGGAATTAGCTAAAGCGTTGGCACGAACACGACACTGTTGCAGTGATAAATCTTCTTTAGGTCTGGCAATTGCTCCACTAAATGTAGCACGTCGACGTTTTTTGGCTGCCTTACGACGTGACAGGCTAGTATAATGGCTATGATAATTTGTTTGTTTCTCCTCATCATCACTTGACAAACGATCTAAAGCATCAACATGATAACGAACAAAATGTGGCAAATACTCAGGATCCAAATAGACTTCTACATTATTCAGCTTGGCTTGATTTTGTGAAGATTCTAATTTCTCTAGCAATGAATACTTCCATAATATATCTGCTATATAATCAACAATATCTTGAAAACGTTGTTGGTTATCGGAGCAAGCATTTTTAAAATCAGCCGAGTGTAGTTTTTTGGTAACAAAAGTTTTCAAAAAGTTGTATAATTGAGCAAAAGCTTTGGATTTACAGATGAAACCAGTACGTTGGTATAATTTTGTTTTGATTTTCGTTTTACTTGCTGAATCAGGTAAAATATCATCATCGGTATAGGAAGTATCAGAAGAAAGCAATAGTTTGCTGGACATTTTGCCGCCACCACCACTTTCATTGTGCTTTTGTAAATGTTCCCAACGTAAGAAGGTAAACTTGAGTATATCCTCTAAAATTTGACATAACAATTGGAAATTTTTCATTTGTCTTAACAAAGCATTTAATGATTGTAATTTTTGAGCATAAAATTCATCACAAGCCTCCGAGGAGGGTGTTACAATTAACTGAAACACACAGTCTAAAATAAAGTAATGACACACCGTTTCCAATTCATAATCCTTAATAGAGTTTGTTAGAGAATTTTGCCACATATAATAGGAATCTATGAATGCCTTGGTCTCCTCATAGTTATTCAGAAGTTTATATTTATTTATAACTTCCAGATTGGACGATTTCAATAGTATATCCTGCACACTAATGCGAGAGGACATATGTTTAAATTTTTGCGCATAATTTATAATTACAGTTAAGCGCTTAAAATCTTTATAGAAATAATTATAAACTGTACGTAAGTCTTCTGCGGGTGTTTCAATATCAAAATGCTCCAAACATTGTTGTATATTCGGCAATTGACTGAGCAATTGATTGGTCATGGAAAATTCTTGTACTAATTTCAAAATAATTAAATTATTTCTCAGCTGTACATCGGGAATTACTTTGAAGTTTGTTATTTGATTGGCCATTAGGGTTAGAAAGTGAGCCTTGTTGTCTAGAGCCTGATATAATGTATATTCTTTTGTACCCAAAGGATTTTGAAAATATTGCCATTGTGCCTCTTTTAGCAATTCCAAAATATCATATAAAGATTGTGTTGTTTCTCGTCCCATTAGGCATAAGTAAAATTCTCTATTCAGTTTGGTGTCGTCGTGTAAGCATTTTCTTAATGGCCCCTCTAGGCTGTTCTGTAGTATTTCTTCGGGTATTTTATTAAGAAATTTTAAAATTTTATTATCGAAACCGTTAGCGGGAACATGATTTAATAATTCTTCAAACACTTTTAAAAGTATAGTTTTAATATGGTATTTATATTTTGTCCATTTTAAGAGTAAAATGTCCAAAACCGGATAGGGTTTATTGAGCAATAGATCACATATTTGTTTTTGACAACGTTGTGTTGAGCTTTTTTCCAGCCGTAGACTTTCGTAGAAAAGCTGGAATGGTAAAAAACAGGGATTGTTAATGAATTGATATTTTATTATTATACGTGATTGGATTGTTAACTACTTCCAGGTAGACAAGTGTATTGGATGCAACCGACCAACCTCTAGGCGGAAGAATAACAACCTCCAGGTTATATCAAAAACAACATTGTCTAATATTTCTACATTTAATAGCAGATTTTGGATTCTACACAACATTTAAAAATTAAAATTTTTGTTTGCTGGGTAGTATTTAGAACTGTTACATTTTTCAAAATGTTATCGATAACATTTTTATCAAATATTTTACACTTGCAGCCAAATGAATTTACATGTATGGATGTACGTATGTATGTATGCGTGTAAAAAAAAATCTGACAAAAATGTATACATATTCCAAAAATATAATGAAAGCCGACTTTTCTACAGTACAAAGTCCCTTGTCTACATCTTACACTTAAAGAAAGCAATAACACGACCCTGATTATACCCAAATAAAAGATAAATTGTGTGTGCATGTAATGTAAAAAAAAAGATAAACAAACCTGTATCAACTCTTGTTCCTCTTGGGGCAGCAGTAAAAAGTAATGCTTTTCCAAATCTTCCATAGTGGCTAAAGTATTTTATCAATATTTTTTAACATCTGTCTATTGTTTTAAAGTTATTAAAATGTGTTTCTTTATTTTACAATTTATATTAAGTAGATTTAAAGATAAGCTGGCAACAGACATCCACAACTCATTTTACATGAACACACAAAGAAAAACAATTCAAACGTTTATAATACATTTTCACTTTTCGATAAATTTTCTGCCCTTTTTTACTGTTTGCACATTTTTTTGTTAATTATGTGGAAAGTTTTCTGGTTAGTTAATTAAATTAGATTAAAATCACGCATAAAAACAAAATATAAATACAAAAAAATTTGACTTCTTATTCAATGTAATCTCTAAATGAAAATAACAAAAACATCACTGTTGCTGCAGCAGCAATTTGCAGTTGTTTTTTTGTTGTTGTTGATTCATTTTGTGCAGACATCAGCTGTGCTTTGTTATTACTCAGTGGTGTTGTTGTAGGATTTGTTTACATTCATTTGAATAACAAGAAAAAGTAATGCCAGACTTATTACACAATATTAGCAAGAATTTAAATTGATTTTTACAAAACTTAATTAAAAAATAGTATAATAATAGAAATTATATTAATATTTATATTATATATTTGGTTTATAATTCTCAGTCTATATGAATTTCATATAAATATTTCGGTTTTATTTAAATATTTTTTTGTTTATAGTGGCAGCACTGTGTTCTAATTAGCTGACCGATTACTTCTGCAAAGTATTAAAAAGAAAATAAAGCAAATTTGCATTTTATTTTTTCTTCTTCAATATCAAAATTTAATTATTACAAAAGATATTATAAATTTATTTAAATTCGAGTGTACGTAATACTGCTAGCTACAATATGCATCAGGCCTATGAGGTACATTCAATTTTAAAACAAGGCGTTCATATAGAATCAATAGCCGCCTATGGTAAGTTCTTCAGGGAATTGTCGAAACAGATTTACCTGCTAATCCTTTCATTATTATTTTAGATAACAATGTAATTTTGGGTACACGCAGTGGCCAATTGATAATGTATTCGGTGGATAAAAATGGTGCTGTCGATATGTTGATGTTTAGCAAGAATTTCAGCAAAAAGTCCATTGTTCAAATGGAGGTGATTGCCGAAGAGAATCTACTGTTTGTTTTGACCGATGGCATGATACATGTTTGCGATATTAGTCGTACCGAAAACAATTTCACTTTTATACACAGTTCACAATTCACCAAGGGCTGTAGTTTGTTTACATTGGATGCACAGGTATGAGAACGATTAGAATTCCTAAAGGTGGTCTTCTATCGATAACAGTGTATTTGAAATTGTTTTAAAATCTAATTTGAAACTAAAATATCGTCACCTGAACTTTAAATAGCTTTAATTACGAGAAATGTATATACGGAAAATTCTAATGCTTAGCGATATGTAGGTCAAATTTCAAGTTAAAGATCGATTTCGATTTTTTGAATTTCTATCTGGTTTCGGTAGAGTTCTATTAATTTGGTAATCAGAAATTAACCCCCGATAATAACTTTGTACGACTATTTATAGTCCGACATAGTCGATCATATTTTCCTACTTATTTTCTTTCCAGACCACCAAAACTATAACCGGTAAAACCGAGACTGTTATACGCGTCTGTTGTGTCATTAAAAGACGTTTGCAATTCTTTTATTGGAAATTAAATATCTTAGCTTCGCCGGAGTTTTCCATCGAGCTTAAAGATGTACCCAAGGCTTTGTGTTGGGTACAGGATCTCATTTGTGTGGGCTACAAAGATGAATATGTCATTTACAATGTAATTTATTGAAAAAACATCATAATTATGGAATACTGAAAACAACAACAAAATTTTCTTACAGATTAAATACCAGAAAACAGAAAAACATGATCTTATTGTAACCTCCTCCTCACACAATTTAGATCCTTCTATATGCCTGTTAAAAGATGATATTTTAAGTATTACTAAAGATGAATATCTTGTGGCAATTAATCTTCAAAATTATAAAGAACGTAAAGATGATAAAGCTAAGGTACAAGCTTCTTTGGAAGCTACGGGCGGTAAAGGTAAAACTGCTTTAAAACCCATGATGTGGAGTAGTCCTTTGTTGGGTTTAGTATGGGATGAACCGTTTGTTGTGGGTCGTGTTGCTAATGGTATAGAAGTTCGCTGTTTAGAGGCCAATGGCATCGATAAAGATACTTTGGTGCAGTCTTTACCGGAATTAAATAAAACAAAACATCTGGTGCGTTCGGCTAAAGGTACCATATTTGCGGCGGCAATTTCTGAATTATGGTGTATACGTCTAGTGGATATTACTACGCAAAGGCAACAATTGTTACAACAAAAAAGATTTCAATTGGCTATTGAATTAACGGTAATTTTAATGTATTTAACATTTGATAAAGTAAAATTATTTCGTTTTTCTTTATGTCCAGAATATTTCCGATGAACCTGAATTATCCAAAGCTGAAACTGTACGTCAGATACATATGCGTTTTGCAAAAGAGTTATTTGCTCTGAAGCAATTTTCTGCCGCCATGACTGAATTTGAAAAGGCTCAGGCAAATCCTTACGATGTCATACGTCTTTTTCCCAATTTATTGCAGGATCAAACTAAGCCAACTACTAGTGATAGCTTTGATGCAGCTGTTCCCACAGCAGCCATGCTGCAGTTAGAAGATAAAGATTTAGAAAATGCTCTTCTGGCCTTAATTGAATTCTTGGCATTGGCTCGTCAAAAAGAAGTGGTTAAGCTGCGCGATACCAAAAGCACTTCGAAATCATTATTGTCCATTATTGATACCACCCTACTGAAGTGCTATTTGCAAACTAATGATTCTTTAATAGCTCCATTGTTGCGTCTAAATCAATGTCATCTGGAAGAATCGGAAAAAACATTATTAAAACATGACAAAATTTCCGAACTTATTATACTGTATCAAACAAATGGCAAACACAAGAAGGCTTTAGAACTCTTACAATCGCAGGCCACTAAAGAAGGTTCTAGTCTATATGGCTACGAAAGAACTATACGTTATTTACAACAATTGGGTGCCTCCCACTGGCCCTTGATAATGGAATTTTCAGATTGGGTATTAAAAGCCAATCCTGAACAAGGTTTGAGAATTTTTACCGAAGATTTTATAGAAGTGGAAAATTTGCCTCGTGCAGCCGTCTTGGATTTTCTCTTGACTCATCATAAGTCATTGGTCATACCCTATTTGGAACATGTTGTTAATGTATGGCAAGATGAAAATACCTTCATACATAACATTCTCATCAAACAATATCGTGAGAAATTGGAAAATATAATAAAAGATTTGGCAAAAGAAGGTTCCAATCAGAAAAATGAATTAAATGCCGAACTTAAAGTATACCGTAAGAAATTATACGATTTATTGCAAAATTCCACCAACTATTCACCAGATGTGGTACTAAAAGATTTCCCCACTAACATGTTATTGGAAGAGCGTGCTTTGATTCTGGGTCGTTTAAAGAAACACGAAAAAGTTTTAGCAATTTACATACAAATACTGGGAGATGTGAATAAGGCCGCTAAATATTGTGAAGACAATTATGAAGATGACAAGGATATATTCTTTACATTACTAAAAACTATATTAAATCCTCTACAGCAACCACCTTATGAAAATGTTGAACTACACAAGGATTTTCTTAAACCCAATCATGATATTGTTTTAGAATTACTGAATAAATATGCTCTCAAAATAGAACCGAGCAAAATATGGCCGGTAAGTAGTTAATGTTTTTAGAAACAGTTTAAAAGTGTATTAAAACTTACTGTTATTTTAGTATTTACCCAAAGATTTGCCTGTGTATCGCATACAACACTATTTAGACACGGTGTTGCGTCAAAAAATGGCCACACGTAGTCAGCTGGAAATTAAAAAAGGCTTACTAGAAGCCCGCCTAAAACGTTGTACAGAATTGGTGTTGGAACAACAGAATATACACTTTGAATTGACTGAATTCAGTGTTTGCCCCGAGTGCAAAAAACGTTTTGCCAATCAAAGTGCCTTTGTACGTTATCCTAACGGTAATGTGGTACATTTATCGTGTCATGATAAAAAAGTTATGGCTGCAAATTTATTTGGTAATTGATTGTATTGTGGTGGGTGTATTGCCTATTGATCTGTTATATTTAATCTATATATTTATATTTATAAGATTTTAAGTTTCAAAAACATAAAACTTATTGCTTTATAAAATTAATTAATACAAAATATATTAATTATATTATTCTTTTTAATTTTTATGGAATGCTAACTTTTATTGAGAATAAAGATGGATTGCGTTTTAATTGTTTAATAAATTTTCACCATACAAAATTTCACTGTTAGCACTAATCGTATTTCGAATATAATTAAGGTCAACACAAATAAAACATGTATATCTTTTTGTTAAATTAAATAATCTTATATTGAGAATATTACTTTTTAGGCCGCCCGGCTGCCTTTTTTCCACCCGACGATTGTTTATCTTTATTCGTTTTACTAGATACCAAGGGATGTAATTCATCGGTGGGAGCATCTGGTAAAGTTATATCGTAATTATTCATTTTTCTCTTTTTTGCCGAAACTTCACCGTAATCATGCATTGCAGCCGAATCGTTATCTTTAGAAGTATTGCCATCCAAACCGTCCTGAACGGCCCAACCATCTTCAGGATCTTCCACTTCGGGAGCCATGGGTAAAAATTGTAAAGCGTTTTCATCTTCTCCCTCCTCATCCGAAGAACAAAATGCCGCCACTGGTTCAGCTTTTTGTACATCAACCTCAATTTCTTCATCCTGTTTGGCATCGGCATTTAAGTCCAAAGACTTATCCTCATCTGTTATATCAAATTCGGATTCACGTTCTTCGTATTCAACATTTTCATCGAGTTCCTTGAAGTCAGGAGCAAAGGCAGACCAATTTTCTACTTGATTTTGAGCCCAAATTGATACCAAACCAGAGCTAATGCTGGCTATAATAGGACGTACAGGATGCCAAACCACATCCAATAATAGTTCACCCTTAGTGCCATGTAGAATTTTCACCAAATTTCCTATAGATTTTTCCCATATATATAAAGCATGTTGTCGCGCACTGCCGGCACAGATATATTCACCATCACCCGAAAAACAGCATTTTTTCCAAGTTGTTTTGTTTACTAAATCTTGTAGCTTTTGTATAGGTTCGGGTTCACCATCTTTGCCCAGAGCCAGCACTTCTTTAGAGTCATAAACACGTATAACACGATCAGAGGTATTAATAAGAAAACCATCTCCTCGTCTGGCAAACTCAATGCTCTTTACCGCCGTAGCACTGGAAGTTCCAACAATAATACGAAAACTGGCCACA